CTGGACACTGAGCATGACACAACAGATTGCTGAAGGCATTCGAAACATGGTACTCATCTCCAAGCTAGCAGAAATGACATCCGACTGCCAAAGTGAAATTGCAAAGCCCTTGTCTGATTTCTCCATAGATAAAATACTAAATGGGCATTTTAAGACTGAAGAGGAAAGATTAATGAAGAAACATGAAATGAACAGCCGAGGAATTGGGGTCTCCTTACCTGAGTTTAATTGGTTGAAGTTCACCAGGTACAATCCGCCAAAACTGCCAAGTAAGTTGGGTAATTCTCTATATACTGGCTGCTTCGCGATGTAGAGAAAAACCTAGAGGGGTGCATGTACATTAGTGCAGAGATGTAACCGAGGTATATTGGTCATAGTGCTGGCAGTGTTTCAATCCAAATTCTATAGAGAAATTGTGATAAAATCGTCAAGAAAGTGGTTCATTTTGAATTATTTGAATTATACATTGTAGCATAGAGGCATAGCTTTGCACGATGCGTGTGTACTGAACAGTGGTGTTTGGGAGTCATTATTTCGATTACTTAGCGAAAAGGCGACGTCAAAAAGGGCTACTGACAATACATCTATAAGCTTGGAACTGTATTCCGATAACTCACGGGCACAGTATGGATGCAAGTTTAAATGAGAGTTCTGATAAGCGTGAATATACGTTCAGATTACACAACCTGCATGCCAAAATAAATACGAGTTACATAGCGTTGTAGATCGAAATCATAAATTAGGGATTGTACAAATGTACACTCTGATACACGGAACTAAAATAGGATGCACTGGGGGTCGAATCTTCGATCAATGGAAGCCTCAATATAACTATATGATTAACTATATGTCTATATGGGACGAATAAGCAAATTGAAAGAGCCCATGCAGCTAACCGGCACGACTCAATGGAATTAGACTTCTTCCAATTCCGTCTGACTCCGTGACCGTTGTCATGCTCAACTCTGCCGATCGAATTATTGGCAGCAAATTCTCGTAAATTTGCAACAACTTTGCTGAGGCACTTGAACGCGTTAAAACGACCGGACGAGGATTAAAACAACGGGCAATAAAGGAAGTACGCGATGAGGCGATAATGATAATCGTCTTTATGTTGCTTTTCTTTCACGAGCGAGAATGAATATATTCCCCGATATATAAACATACAATTAAGAAAACAAAGCCGTGAAATCTAAGCCGGGTATGGATGTGTTTGTGCAGGCGAATGATTTATACAGAGCAATCAATGAATTAAATCAAGCGGAGGCTGTTATTCTGTGCATTATTGAAGTGAGTGATTAGAGTGGAGCCTATACGTGCGATCTTTATAAACATTTCAAAGCTAAAAGCTAGGACTAGGTATAGATACATCCGAAAATTATAGTCGCATGTATGAAACCGATTAGCCGGTATCCGATTAGTACTCCAGTAGATATTAGCTTTTAAGGAACGGTTCTAGCAAAGCTGTAGAACAGAAACGACAAGAATAAAGAAATCGGGCATTTCTAAGTATCTTCAGAAGTTCTAGCAGTATTTCGAGTACGTTTTTACAATCGCGTTATACAAATTTACTGCTGGCCAATTGAACCTATATACAACAATATATGAATATAGATGTCTTGAATGAAGCTCTCATATTATACAACCCCTAGCGATAGGTTCGGTCAAGTGTCAACCTTAAACAAAAGTCAGCACTGAGGTTCGCTTTCCACAATGCACGCGGACTGACAAGGCGGAAAGCTGACGCGGAAGTGATGCTCCATGATAAATTGCTATCATCGTAGACATTTGCGTTAAAATATTGCCTGTTTAATAGCCGCCAGCTACAGAAAAGTGGTTCAAGCGCAACAGTTGCACGCTTAAAAACTTAACCACGGCCGACAATCCCATCCGACAGATGCAGTGACTTATTAAATTATTCCAATAACTCAATTCATGCGAGGTGCGCCAGGGAGACAAACGCGCAAGTAAGCCGATTCTTGCCGCAGTAATCAGCACCCGACATTTCACCGACTTGTTCCGACTTTCATCAAGCGTTCCTTATCGTTGCAAATTCTCTTCGCGTTTTGCCGTTATCGCGCCGAAACTGATCGTATCGTATGGTCGACAATCTAATTAACATTGAAAATCGCGATGAAATGTATCATCGAGCCGAGCGGCCAATAGTGCACTGGAGACTTCAGCCATGCCTATGATGAACACTTTTCATACAAGTCATACGCCGTTGGCAAGTCTGCGAGATGAATGTCTACTCTAACATGTACATACAGTCATACACCGGCTAAACAATTCATAAATAATGTCTACAAACGCTTCCTTAACTTATTATTATAGCTACATTAAAGACTGCGAGAAAGAAACTCTAAAATACTAAATAATGAAATGAAATTTCTAGCCGATGATATTGTAAAATATCATTAAATGAGATAAACTCCAACTGGTTATCTATATGTTGGGTTGAAGTTACTGCATGCAGTTGGAGTTATATTCAGTACTTTATATAGTGTTATGCCTGAATGAATGTGCTGTCTAAGCAAGGCTATGTAAACCAAAATCCTACAGCTGACTTAACACAACCCGAACCGGTTATTGAAAGTGGAATCTATAGAATTGGGACCGCTATACCAATATACTATTACATGTGATTAACCCCTAGATAGAGCTTAACTTTTTACAAAGTGTCGGAATTCCCGTGCAAAATAACCTTCGCGCAAGTTTTTTAATATTTTCAAACAGTCCGTTCTGTACACACTTTAATTAAAGATCCTCATACAAGGTAATGTCTATGGTCCATACGCACAGTTCGGCCGCCAAAATGCTTAAGATTTAATCATAATATATCATAAGTCACGAGATTTAACTTCCGCAATTTTTGTGTTTTGTCAATCTGCGCTTTATTGCAAAAGTTTATATTGCTTTGAATATGAAATTAACGCCGCAGTGTATTGGATTAATTATTGCTCATAAGAAATCATACAATTATCATGTACAGCTTATGAAACTTGAAACTTCAAGACAGGCTAAAAACTCTTTGAAAAAATCACATTTGCTCTAATACTGCATGGCCTTTGTAGTTCAACATCATATAATGTTTTTATCACAAAATGGATTTCTTAAAAAGAATATAGCGGCACAGATGTTGAGATTGTTTGCATTAATAATTCAATTTTTGCACACTCAATCGAGCAGATATATAAATTTTTCAATTTCGCCCGGTAAATGTTTAAATGACGTGTATATACAGCGGCGTTTCTGTCACAATCGAACTTAATTAAACTTTGTCGTTTTCTTTTTAAGTCGAATAATTATAAGACTAAACAATAAAATATCATCCTGCTGAAACACTGTTGTTTGACACTGAGATTTCAAGCACCTTTCAAACAGAGCGCTAACTTCAATAATTATACATAGATATATCCCCGTCAGTATGTCTTAAACGGTTTCTTTAAAATGCGAGTTATTTTTTATTTTATTTCACCGGTCCGCGAGACCGCGAAGATTTATTGCTCGTCAAATGAAGTTTCTTTCAATTAATATGTCTCCAAGGACGAGCCCTTAAATCGCTAACCATGACTGGAAATCTTAAAAAGATGCTTCCATGGAATGAAAAAGCCATAAAATCGGCTCCCACACCCCGGGAATTCAGAGATGTTAGGTTAGACCAGTGGGTAAGACGCTATAACTATACCTAGAGAGAATTAAACTATAGTATAGCTAACTATTGCAAGCTATAAGTAGTCGTCTCCCACAAACCTCATCGCGCTAAACCTTAAAGCTAAGCTTGAACCTTAAATCAAAGCGCGCATGCAAAACATTGGGAAATACTGATGTTTAACATGTTTGCATTGAATGTTCTGACATATAACCGTCTTAACGCGCGGCTGAGGAGTTCAATGTCCATACGCATCATAACCATCTATAATAACTATACAGTTATCTCGAACGCGATTTGTCAGGATTTTTGTAGATTCTTTGTTTGAGGCGTGGTATATAAGCAAACGAAAACTGACATCGATGCCAAATATTCTACTGCGGTAGCCCACTCTTCCCTAAACTCCTAGTATGCATCACAATGATATCTTTCATTAGAAGTTCAAGAATTATACACCCGATGAGACATGTATTAACTGTACAGTTATAGTTGTATCTCCTAGTAGGAACAAACGGGTCCCGAGAAAAAGCATGCATCTGAGAGTCCCACTATGCTTGACCCATACACGGCTGCAATTATTTTAAAGGTAACTATATATAGCTAGTCTTGTTTGGTACAATCAGCTAGGTTGTCGTGTATAATGCACTATATATAGCTTGGTCATAAAAATTTTTAATCATAAAATCTGCTCAGTAACTGCTGAAAATATACGCTGAAGAAATCTTCTCACCGTCTTGGTGGCAAGGGCGTAGTATGGTAGTATCGCATGCCAACATTCCTCACGAGGCCCTTAAATTTGAAGGCCAAAAATATCTTAGATATGCCTATTTCCTGAACCACGTTTGATGTGGAAGAGACAATAGATAACTTAGACCGCAGTGTAGATATCCGAAGATGCGAGTTCAAATCCGGCCATATTCAAGTTCAAAGCACAACATTTTTCGTTATTCTCTCTGCAGTGTCAGATTATGAATATGATATTTCATATATATCTTTGAGCATGCATGTTCTGATAAACGTTTAGATAGCACTTATTGATACATCATATAGCTATTTGATTATCCACTCCATAAAGCTCTGTATCCTTTGTATAGGGTAGACGATACAGAAAAAAATTACCATTAGGACATGCATGTTACATGCGTTTCCAGTATACTAAAATAATATATTTCACTGAACCTATGTGAGGTAAGAATGCAATTCTACGGATCGATTTTCGAATCGTGGTTTCTTTATAGAAACCGAAATATGTCTATGAATCCAGATAAAGTTAGATAACCGCGTCAATTAAGTGTCGAAGCCCGAACACAGATTTATATCAGTTTACAAGATAATTACTGAAAAGCATCATACCCTAAGTTAGACGTTAGGAATCAGGGAGAAAGTATATGCTTAAAATGGTTCATATAGTCATGAACAAATTTTACAGAAAAAGGAATGAAAATTTTCCTTTTATAATCTACAATTAAATAAAGAAATGGTTCAAGGATTTTTCTAGAGCCGGGAACTTGAGGCTTTATACATACGAATGAATGTTATAGAGGTTTTAAACGGTCTTAATTTCGAGTGGAATGATACCACTTCAAATTCAAGCCAGGAACAGTTGATGGAAAAATGAGTCAACTATAGGTCCTCCGGCAGGAATCGAACCTACGCTTTTGCGACGCCGCTGCAATGCTCTTGCCACCGAATGAGTGTTAGTTGTAGTTATAGGCACAATCCTTGCAATTATATACATGCATACTTATATGTATATGTTAATCATATAGTGACATAAATATGGCAATAGTTAAAAGGTGCTCTAATCAAGCTGTTGTTCTATTAATAACGTTTTACAAACTTGTTTCAGACAAGTTGTAATATTCAACTGTTCCGTCATCAGGGTAATGATGTGTGAATCTTATCTCGCAGCTCAAGAACATGTTGATTACTCAGTCAGCGTATCGCGATTACGTAGATTAAAATAATGCATTTGTAATATAGCGCAATAAACACTGTTGTTTATAGTTATTTTAGGGTGTATGTCACTATAGCGGGGAGATATTACCTGCAGAGAGCCTTCGTTGCCTAGGATTAATCTATTCTGCATGTAAATACTTTGCTGGAATTACCACAGCCCCGTGTTTCAAGGGCAAGATGGGTTAGAGGGTTAAATGTGTTTAAAATAGTCAAGACGCCGTACTAGACACACTTGCTATATACTACACGGTCAACATCAGTACGCAGTAGAGAAGTTTTACTTCACTGTATCAGAATATCCACCATTGTATGAATCTGAATCAGTGAGTTAAAGTTACATTATGAACAAATATCACGCGAAGTATGGTTGTCACTCGACAACTCTCTTGTTATATCCGATATCAATTACAAAGAGATCAGCCAAATGCCGCATGACCGTAAAATGGATTTTTATGTCTCAGTCCTGGTAATCCGAAGTATAATCGCTATAAAACATAACCCGTAAAACAAATATAATCTATATAAGCAAAAGATTCTGACATATGTATAATTATAAAGGTATGTTAATGAAAACAGCCATGATAAAGACTTTGTATAAAGGTATGTTAATGAAACAGTCCAATCAATATAATTTCACGCGAGCGGCCTCTGAAAAGACAATCACCTTTAATTTATATGCAATAATTATTCGTAAGTTATAAACATTAGCTATTGCTAGTATAAAGTTCTTGAAAACACGAATGCAACACATGAAATTCCGAGGGAAACTTGAATTATAGTAGGGAACACGGATACGTCTAGAGTGGGCGAAGCCGCGATAGAGAGTATGTTATATCGATTTTGAGATGACAAAATGATAAGCGTCCTTAATGTTGATATTCTGCGCTCATTGAGATAAGAGAGAGCAATATCATTACATCAGCCGTTTATAATTGGACGACAATTGAGTTCATTCGTAATCGTTCTATAAGACACGCATTATTGCCGATCAGTCGCATGTGTTGAATGCTTCCAGTCTGACGAAGCTCCAATCGTCTCGCTCGGTTTTCACCAGGACCAGAATTCATGCATTATGGAGGGCACCTTTAATGGCAAACGCGGAAGCTTTCCGCAATGTCACTTATTATGGAGTTGCACGGAAAATCCTACTTAATGCTTTCCCTTCAAAATTCAGTTTGCTACCTTAAAAGGGAAACTAAGAACTAAAAAAACAGGTCGTGGTCGGAGTGCGTCAATGTTTTTCGACCTAACCCCTATATTGGCATAGCTTTTGACACGTTATGACTTCGACACGATAAGAAAAACACTTCATAGGTTGCGTTATTTACAAAAGCTAATGATCCCACGAACGCTTGTCACAACGATAATGATATATGGCAAATTCATATGTTTTTGTTTCAAAACATCGGGTCTTTACGTGTAAATAGGGATACATCGAGATGGCCCTGCAAGCACCTCTGTCGACACGTAGCAGAAAATTCAATTATGAATTGGAATAGGTTTGGGCTGGCACGCGGTTCCTCATTAAGACGATTGCAACAGTTTATTATTGTAAAGTAATAAAACATATTTCAGTCGACAGGTTAAGAATCGTAATTATATATTATCAGTCATGGGACAGAAATAAAGCATGAATATTTAGCGAAAATATGTTTTACCTTTGGCTATGTAACTTAAGTACAGAGCATGCAACTATTGATCGAATCACTCTCTAAAATGTTGCCAGCTATGTATATATAATTTCTATATTTTTGGGAATTCCATTTTGGGAGCTGACACATGCAGACATGTTGGAAACCAAGGAAATTGCTTGTAGTTTTGACTGATTGTGAAAATAATATTTTTTGCACGAGTACAAATGAGACAAACGAGACGTAATATTAATAACACCACCCAACTTCCTGAATGGAAGAACAGTTTCGAGGTAATGATTGACTTTCAAAGATTATCACAAAAATCCCCAGCAATTTGCATATGAAATGGAGCAATAGGAATTCAGCAGTTTTGAATCACAAAGACTCTATATATGCACGTTCATAACGTAACTGCCTTAAGAACAACACTGTTTTAACATTAATCAAAATTTATCTTCAGACACCAATTACTCTGCATGTATACTAATAAATCTAATGTTTAATTTAACTCCTTTACACATGGAAGTATTCATCGCAAAATTAGCTGGATTAGGCCAATGACAAATGTTCGCCCAGCACAAATAGTCATTGTTTAGGCGTTCTTAGCCAATTCGGCATAATCCCACATACAGACACAGAGGCTGGAGGTGATATTTTAGAAAAGTCCGAAGTGTTTGCGGAACACACAGGTTAATCTCTCATAAAAAGCCAAAAAGCAATTCATAAATGGATGTTAATCGCATCTCAATGTATAAACAGACGGCTAAACCACCCAAAGCGTTGACGCTTTTACAAGTATAATAAATCAATCTGGGTCACTGCAACTGTTGACTTAGCCAGAAATCAGGCACGCACAGAAACACATACTGTATTGCGCTTATAAAGCAATGTAGGAGGTTGAAATTTAATATAGCAGGCAAAAATTTTGACAATAAGATGAACTATTTGTATGAATTCTTAAAGTGGTACCAGGGAATGGCACATTTGAGCTTGCCATGCATGCATGGTATATATTTAATGTAGCCTACGTTAGCCGGTTGTATATATATACAAAGAGTAGTTGACTTTAACTAGTTGGTGGCAGGATTAGGCCAATTAGATTTGTGTATTTTGAGGTTAATCATGATTTGACTCCCTGAAATGCAATTCCTAAACTGATGTAGTGAGGAGTACAATTTGGATTTATCTGAGATGTCATCAAATCCTATTTCCAATCGAAAATATCAATGAGCAACACTTGATTACTCGTTCATTTTTATGAGTGTCAGTTTTGGGTAACTTTCCTACAAGGTCCTTCACATGGGTTAAATTGGCCAATAACCGAAATCAGAGGTGTGGGTTCAGTAAGCATTAGGAGAATCAAAGTTGAAAAGTTTTTTTAATTTTTCATTAAACTGAGATGAAATCATGTCAGCGAGATATTGACAGAATAATAAAACTTGCGAAGCGTTAAGCGTGCTATGGACGTAGGACCGGATACATTACACGAGGTGGCATCCATCGAAGCATGGGATGGATGCTTGGCAACGTCTCTGCGTTTACCAACATAGCATGATACGCCAAACAACGGCCACAAACCAATTAGCAGAATAATACATCATGCACAAGACAAGCCCTTCAAACTGTAGCAAAAGCTTAATCGTGCTGTAACATTGGAGCTTGTTTTCACACGGAAGTTGGACGCAAGCACTTTCATATCATGTTGTTAATCTTTTTGAATAAACCACATCAAGTCTTTTCATGATATATTAGCTTTCCTAGAGTTATTTGGATTTTGTCTGCATTTCGAGTAGTTGCAGTCGGGTCATGGCATAAGAATCATGTGAGAATATTTTTGCCAAATATGTTGGTGCATGGAAGATTGTGAGGTGTGTAAGTTCCGGACAGAAGGGCGAGCCACCTAGGAAAAGGTCAACTCACTTCCTTTTTTCGTTTTTCTAATGAGAAGCGTTGACAACTGATAAAAGGATTCTAGATGTTTGAAAGCGTTGTGGACTGATTCCAGTTTCCATGCACCCAGCGGAGTAAACTAATGCATCAATTTAGAATACGTATATAACTGGAAAATTTTTTAAATAAAAAACTAGTAAATAAAGTTTAGGCACAATTCCATACCAAGACACATTTCTCATCGACGCAATAGCGATAATAAGACCAAGATAATCTTGTTTTTCAATTTGAATGCAAACTTTTAGGTTCGAGACCTTGGTAGAGCTGTGTACGCCTTCCATGATATGAGCCATATAGGCTTGACCCACACATTGAGACATAAAATAAGAATAATTCAAGTTTGATATATGACTATAGAACCAAAGCTTTGGGAGTCTATATTTAGTTGAGAGGAACAACAAATATTTTAGATTGGATGATTAAGGTTTTAACTATAAATCTGTACCTTACAATAATAAATCCTTTATTAGCAGTTCTTCGTGAGAACTGCTTGTAGACAAGCTACCTGCACGCGTGGGTGTGATTAGTCGACAATCTCTTTTTTAGCAAAAATGCGATACTGGGAATCAGTTTGTCAAGCCATGATATATAAACAATAGAAGTCGATAGGACAGTTTGAAAAACTGTTTCAACTGATAAGCCATTCAGTCATTATTTTGAATATTCTCCAAAATAGTAACAGCTGATGTAGCAAAAGTCAGGGAAGACTTCCAGAGGAATGGTTCGGTAGCGAAATATTTGCATAGTTTCCTTTGAATTAGTTCAACTATATTGAGACTGTACAAATAATCTTTAGCGAACCATGAATTCCTCTGCAATTGCAAATCCAGCCTTATGGAATAATTTACTGTGCACTTTTTTCGCTGCTTTCAGTTTTAAATTTTTTACAATTTTCCAAATGGTTCATTAAGAAAACATGGAATTAGAACTTAACGACTTTTTTTGAACAAAAACTCACCATCCATCTTTTTTTACTTCCAGAATCCAGCAAACGGCGGCCAAAGCAGAAACGAAAACCAGGGCGCAATCCCAGAGTGCCTTTCACGCCGAAGCAGTTGACCACACTAGAGAACAAATTTCAAGCGATGAAATACTTAACAAATGACGACGTTAGGGCCTTGTGTAATGAGCTGGGCTTGCCGGAAAATAAGATCAAGATATGGTTCCAGAATCGCAGGGCGCGCGAAAAAAGAAAAACGACACAAACTGAGGAGTACATCGATGTCATGACCGTTGATGGTCTCTGAATCGTTCAAGACTGGCATTTAGACTAAATTATTCAGAGTAAACATGCTGGTCCCCTTATCGACACTTTCATGTCTTCAAGAGCCTGTTGCTGTAAGGAGCTTTTTATTTATGAAGAAAGAGTTAAAATGCTTTTGGATATTTTTCCTCCATATTGCTAGCTAGCCTAGTTAGCGAGAGTCAAAAGACCAAATGACTGACGGAAGAGTGAATAGAGAAAGATTTTGTCGGGAGTTATTATTCTGTGTATATATTGATTTAGCAAAATTTATAACATTCTCAACATTTATTTTTGGCCAAATATTTCATGCATGCTTCCCGTGACAGTATGCAAGTGTCGTAACAGAGACAAAAATGCACCAGCATAGACCTATTCGGAAGAGAGCAAGAGACCTTTTGCAAGTTACATGAAACCGAGGCTTTTAAATTCTGATTGAAAGAAACTTTGTTTTTGTAGCTTGTGACAGTTCCAGCGAAAAAGTGTAAATATGTTTTTTTAATTCGAAAAAAGAAAATCTGACTAGCCTCGCCTTCGTGTACCTTGCCACAGGCCTCTTTCAATTTTTCTTATAGACCAGCAGGCCAGTTTATGAGCAAATTGTGATTATGTGGCGGGAATATTCTTATGCAGCTTGTCGACAAGTAGTTATAAGGCCTTTCACAACTTGCTGCAAGGTGCTTAACTGTCGAAGGATTTGGGTGAAAGTTGTGCCAGGATCGATATGTAAACGAGTCGTGAAAGACAGCTTTGCAACTTAATTGCTAAATTTGCAACATAGCTACATAGCTTGTCGACACTCCTGCTACAAGTTCGTTAGGTTATCATTTATTGTTGGCAGTTTTTTGAGTACTGATAAATGTATAAAAAATTAAAATCGCAAATCAAGCTAATATAGTTGAATTTGTATGTCACAGTACGGCGCAGAGGATGTACATACTCGAAAAACCTTTATGAAATATACAAAAGCGTTTTGCTCCACAGTATGGAAGGGTGAAAAAACTCGCAACAGCTCCGTGTGCGGCTCATTGAGCAAACGAACACATGCACGTCGGTACTTTTATACTAAGAATGAACCATAATATTCATAATTATTTACAAGAGGCAATTACTAGCTGCGACTTTAAAAGTAAAGACTGTATAGTGATATTCATGTAGACATTACGGAAACGTGTAAATATGTAAAACATTGTGTCAAAACATTAAATTAATATTGGGAAATTGTGTGAGATAAGTTCAACGCTTGCAACAAGTATAAAATATCTGTACTCTGTATAAATGCGCTATGTGTGGGGGGGGGGGTTGTTCAGGTTGTCGGAAACAATGTCAATGTTTTAAGGAATTAACAGAGCTGAAACTGAGTGCTTAGATGGTATGAATATTCATACATTCATCTTAGGGTGCGAGTGATACTTTGGAAAACGCCATGTTTTTACAGTGTGCAGATATTAATATCTTACTATGTTTTAGAAGTTTTGGCGTTTAGGCAATTCAGATTTATTGTGTCATTTTTAAAGTGTTTCCAGAATCTTGTGCGAAAATCATTGAGACACTCCTTTACCTGAATATGGTATATTCGACCTTATAGTAAGGTCGTCCTTGGCAAGGTCGACCTTGATATCAAGGACAAGGTCGAATATACCGGAATATAGCAAGGTCGAATATACCCGAATATGGTATATTGGACCTTGATAAGGTCGTCCTAGATAAGGTTGAATATACCGGAATATGGTAAGGTCAAAAATATAATAGCTACGCCTACGTAAATTCGTCCATGGTCGGTCCACCGTAAGGTAAATTTGACCATGGTAAGGTCGAACATACCGGAAAATGGTATATTGCGCTGTAGCACAACGCTAATGTGCAATGGTTCGTGCAACTCCAGTTGATGAGTTTGGATTAAACCGATACAAGAGACAAGACCTATTAAATACAAGAGACCAGAGGAATAATGCTCAGGCAGCATTATTAAGCCTTGTATTATATCGTTATACAGATAGACGTTGCTAGTGTTAACCGATATCTCCGTAATTTTGTCACAAAGACACAAGTGCCAACTAAAACCTGTATATCTTTATATACACTCAATATAGGCATAAACAAATACCAAAATAAGAATGGGAAAAAAATATAAAAAACATTCATTACTTGTTCAAGATGATCTTGTACTGCATGTGCTGTTTCGTCGTTTTTTCTATCGCAGTAACAGTCGTTGTCAGCAAAATATCGTAAGTTGAATAAGGCACAGTTGTCATGCAAGAAGCCATTTTGTTTTGTTTTAAAATTTTCGCGGGCTTTTAATAGCCGCGCGGGAGCGTGGGTTTGAATTTACTACAGAACTATAAAAATAAACTGGAATGATAACCGCGAAGTAAATATTTGCAATTTGTTTATATTACATAATTTATGTAATACTTAGCAAATGCATCAGACTGTCCCGAAATATACATATAAATATAAAAATACGAAGGATAATAAAAAAATCCATTCTTAAAAGTCGGCACAAACACAATTCACAAAGCACAATGAGAAACTCTCATATATACCAACGTAAATTTAGGCGCATTAAATTTTAAATTTATTGATTATTGCATAAACATTTTTGCACTTATTCTTCGCGCCTAATTTGTTCGTTCTGTCATTTCCGTACACTTAAGGACAAAAATTGAAAGTATCAAGTTATGAAAAAAACAAAAAGGGTTTAACCGGGTGAAATGATTGTTCAGTATATTGCAGACGTAAAAATGATGCCGTTATTGTATTCATTAATTATTAACGACTCAATAATTTAGGGCCCGTTTATAGCCTTGCCTTGGACTTTCTCTAAGGGCCTGTTTACATGGAGCGAGTTATCCCGGCTAGGCGAGGTAAAAAGCGCACAGTTCACAGGCTCAACTTTTTTGTGACTGCTCAAGAAGCGATTAGGAATGAAAATTTCTGGGTAGATTTAAGAAAAATTCACGATTTAAGACAAATTGCTGTACAAAATAATTTCTCCCTTTTGCATGTAAAACTTTTAATTCTCCGTCTGTTTGTCGAAATTTACATTATACCTTTATGACAGTGGATCTCGTTAATGAAAAAGCTCTAACAAGCAATATGTTTATTTAATTTATAAAGCGTAGACATGTTTAATGAAATCAATATACAGTTAAACAAAATAAAATATGAACTTGTCGCAAAAAATTGCATGACGAAAACTTCGCACCTCAATTAAAGAACTGCACGGTGAAAATCTAATTCGAGTTTCGGTAAAGAATCCATCTTTGCAGGATCAGGTTTTAATTCATTGGGTCAAGCTTTATTTCATATATAATTTATACAGTATATGTTTGTCACAGAACTACTCCATCATGCTTTACAGCGATATTTTCATGTCAGGAAATAAAGCATTTTAAGCGGGCAACGGGGATTTACTGCAAAAATGCAATGCATGCTCGCTCTTAAAAACGGCAAAATCGTCTGGGGTCGGTAGTATCAAGCCCGTTTAGCTTAAACAATGGTTAAGTTCAAAATAGAAAGCAAGTCTATCGTTTTATTCAACAAGCAAACTAAATATTTTTAACCATAATACAAAGATACTGTTTACAACTACATATTAAGTGCATAATATTCATGTTGACTCATTCAAGAGAGATGTATAAGAGTGTTATTTAATTTTGACTTATCCGCCGTTTAAGCTAAACGGGCTTGATACCACCAGCCCCTGCATATAAAAGCCTGTAGTTTAATGCCGCTATGCCAGTAAAAACAACATTATCGGTCTTTTAACTGTTACATTTCATATATTGTAATAGATTAAATATACATGCACCAATACGACCTAGTTAAATTTCATGCTATATTGATATTTCTTTCTAATTTCTGAAATATAGTAATTGAGACATATTCTTGCTGAATTTGTAACTACACCTGCATTCAGTCGATCTCCATTTAACAACAAAATTATGATGTTAACAATTTAAATTATTCGACTCTAGTAAACACTTGGCAAAAATGTTTCAATTTGGATGCCTAGCTCATGTAAAAACAAGAATACACACAGGCCATCGCTAGATTGCGACACGGTGCATATTCATATATTCGACTTGATTGTTTTTCGAAAATGGGCATCGAATATGCGCCCTCAGGCCCCAGTTTAGTTTTTTGCTACAGTCCTGAATAAAGACTGCCTTATTTAGTAAATTGTTGAGTCGTGGTTATTTGGAAAACTCTAGACTCTAAAGGAGGCCCGCACCAGTTAGGCAGACACTGCCTTACGCCAAGCCGAAAATCTCTATGCCAGTAAATTACCAACAAGGGATTGATCACTGCATTTGAGAACATCAATGCCTCGGCCCAGGGATCAACAACAAAGGTCATTGTTTGACTAACAGAATCACTGACCGCGAAATACACCATGGCCATCAACGCTGGAACATAACAGAGTAACACTGATGTAACAACAATGTAACTTGTTTTGGTGTTACGAAACACCTGCTTGGTATTGCTTCGCGACTGATCATCTGAAGGTGTTTGCATCGTCTGTATGGCTTTTTTGTGCTTACGAAGCAATCTGTGGATCCAAATCCATATTGAAATGACAATCGCAAGACCGGTGAAGTTCAGTAGTGCGCCGATAATCAGTAAAATAGAGTCTGGGACTAAACGCAGATGGGATATCACTAACAGAAAAGTGTAAGCCAAGTCATGATTACGACCAATCTCAATCGAGGCCGTGTCAGGATGGTTTGATGTCGGTATGGATAGGC